GAGACTCACAGGAGGAGCTAGAAATGAGTTTATCCTTTGCTGAGATGGACATCAAAATAACCAAGTAGGCAGGAAAAACATTTCAACCCCATTTATAGCCATGCCTCTCGATCGATCTCCATACGAAGTGGTGATTTGGAAGTCTAGCATGGACTGTTACAATCATTATCAAGGCCTGCACAATGCAACAGCTCTTGCAGATACTGATAACATACGCCTAACTATATAAGAACCTTGTTCTCGACCATGCTCAACTTAGACATAGGGGAGGAATCAACAAAGTTTGGTTTTGTCTTGACTGTAACATCATCAGGAAAACACTAGTTTGAACCATTACTTTTTTCAGCTGCCTTGGCTTGCACCATCTTCCCAGACATGTTCAGAGAAATGCACAGAAAAAACACAGTCTCCACATATGACCTATGCCAAAAGCAAAGGCATGAAACAAGAAAGTCGCATCAACAGCAGTGGGTCTCCATAATGATGGCGAGATTCCCTTCAGTGCTAACTACTGAGGGCTGTGACAGCCCGTCGATTGTTCACTGCTGGCATTATGATAGCATTGTGCACGCCAAACCTTCTTCCAGGGTAGGTGGACATACGGAATGACACTCAAACCCACAGGGACTCTTTTACTGCAGAGAGTTCTCAGAAAAACGTACATGGCTGCCGTGTCTACTTGGCTAATTCATTAGATTCCAAGAAAAACGTATACCTGTGTCTTGAACAAGGTGAGTATCATTCAATTCTAAAAAAACAAGTAATTGCAAAAGAATCAGAGGAACCTCATGGAGGATAATTAGATGTGACTTTTTAATCCCACCAAGGGAATCTCACCAGGAGAATGAAAATTTAGATTTATACTAGAAAGTCTAATTTTGACTGAATTTTGTTTTAGCATGACTCATTTAGATTAGAAAAAAAAAAAAAACTTACGGTATACGTTCTAATTTAGAATGGTTTTAGCACATAAGAACTTGTATGCGGCTACCCCTATGGAGATAAGGTGAGGTAAATTCAATCCCGTTCTAAGACTAAAATGCATCTGAGTCAGGTGGGAGAAATGAATAATGGTGGTGCTAACAGCTGGCTGGGCGAGGACTTAGGGGGAAGAAGGAAGAACCGTTTCTGCCCCGACCTCCTCATGCCTGTCACAGGCTTGTGTACACCCACTCACCACTACACAACAAATAAATGAATATAACAAAAAATGTAAAAAGCATATGTTAAAAATCTGAATGATATTGTTTGTGTGAAGGGGGTTAGCCTTAAGGTTCTTTCCTCCACATCTCTCCATTTTTCATTTATACTGTTGGCATATGTTAGAAAGTTGGTGAGCACTGCCAACTTATGGCTGGATATACCTGTACTTGGGTTCATAAAGAACGTTCTTCTTTAAAGACACAGATTCATCCAGGGAGTTACAAGTCACTGAAGACTTACTTCTTTACTGACTGAGTTACTAGCACATTCGGTTGACAAAGTTGCTCATTCATTTATCCAATATTCTCTCAGCAACTACCAAGCAGAAGGTACACAAAGGGTCTGAGAAGGATGTCAAGGATGAGCAGGACAATCTCCCATCTCAAAGATCCAGCGGCAGCGTGATGAGGAGAGTACCCAACTTCCTGACTCTAATGGGATAGCTTTAAAAATCCCCATCTGGGCCAGGAAGATGACTCAGCAGGTCACAATGTGGCCCAACATTCCTGAAGGCCTGAGTCCAACCCTCTGCAACCACCTGGTGGAAGAGAAACAACTTCCAGGAGTTCTCCTCTGACCTCCACGTGCATTTCATGGCTTGCGTGTTCCTACCCACCACCTCCCAACAAATAAATAACTATAATATAAAAATTAAAAAGCCTGGATGAGGTGGTTTGTCTGAAGATGGTCAGTCTGAACTTTCCTCCACATCTCTCCATTTTTTTTCTTTTTGTTTATACTCTTGGTTGTATTAGAAAGTAGTGAGTGATGCAGCTCCATTTGCACAAAGTCACTCTCTTTAGCTGCTTGCTACCTTAGTCAGTCAGGGTTCCTTCCCAGTCATCACCGGCTGTACGTGTTTGACAGGTTTCTACTGGAATATATTTATTTTAAATCCCACTATTTTTCTTTTTGTCTGATGGAGGATTGGCCAAGAGACCTTGGAACTGCTAGCTCTCCTTCCCCATGCAAATAAAGTGCTTGCAGTTAACACTTAGGTAGACTCTTCACATCATATAGAGGGAGGTTATTCCCCAGTGACAAGGACAGCCCCCGGATGCAGGGTCGACGACCTGCATTCAAAGTCTGTCTGAAATGAATGGTTCAAGTTGGAGATAAACGTCCCTTAGCCTCCATCTTAGCTGTGATATTTACAAGGAGACTCTGTAACCTAAGGCCTCAGATCGATTTCTTTTAACTGTAGGATGGAAATCATTTCATTCGGTAAAACTAAACACTTAAGTGAGACAAATTATATCAAAATTTAGCCACATGAGTTCAACTAAAAGGCCACATGAGGCTATTTGAGGTCGGGGATAGCTTCTAGTGCAGCACAACATGAAGCCATAACATCAGTTAAAATATGATGGATCTTCTTATACCATGAATATGTGGTTCTTGAGTTTAAACTTTGCAAAGGACAACGCCCTGTCCCAACGTGAAAAGGTTGACACACCTGGCCAATTAGTCCATTATGAACTATGACTCTCTGCCTTCCTCCTAGAAAACAGCATTATTACATCTACTATTTCATCCTTTTATGTAACAGAACCATCTAAGAGACTAGTCCACACAAGAACTAGTGAGCTGTCCTTGTGAGCCGGCCAGGGGTGTGCAGGCTCTGTCCTTCAGTGACTCTCAGGGTAAAACAACAGTAAACAATAAACCCCAAAGCAATTCTGATTCTCTCTCCATTGTGGTGTGGACTTCAAGGTGACAACTGTGAACACTGGAGATCCTGATAAAAAGGATCCAGGCCTGGAGCTCCTGATAACACAGCATAACCAAAGCCAGGCATGCCAAGCAAGAGTGTTCTTGGCCTTGAACCTAGACACTGTCTTTGTATGTCATTTATTTTTCTGTAGTGGATTATTAATTAATCAATTAATTTTGAGATAATATCTTATTATGTGCTATGTAGCCCTGGCTGGCTTCAACTAACAGACTTTGTCTGCCTCTACTTCGTTAATACTGGAATCAAAGTCATTCACTGCCCAACCCAGCTTTGTTTTCTTTTGTGAGATGGTCTTGCTATGTAGACATGGATGTCTAGGTTTTTCACTTCCTTGGACTGGCAAAGCTCCAGCCTCAGACTTCTGAGCGCTAGGATTACAGAGTTAGCCTGCCTGGCTAGAACACTCTTTTTAATTAAATATCACTGATCTTTGACTCATACCTGGGTTGGTCATGAGAATGAATGAATACATATGTGTGTGTGTAGATGTGGCTCAGATGTTGTTCTGTGCCTGTCATTGAGAATTTCCCATCTTACAAGTTACTTAAAGCACTTAGAGAGGAAAAAACTGTTAGTGTGTATGTGTGCATGGCGATGGCCCAACACAGAGAGACACATCTGGGGTTATGGGAAATAACTATAAAAGCCTTAGAAATGTTGGAAAATAGATGCCTATGCCATATTAAAGGCTTAACTTAAAAATTGCTACTTCTTTCCCATAAAAGAAGATCCTTTATCTAAGAATCTACTATATATTAGTAGATTCTATTTCAATGCATTTTAGTGAAAATGTTACTGCAGTAGGCAGTAAATAAAAACTACCAAACTAATCAATCAATCGACCAGTTAAAATCAGGCTGAACTTAACAAAAAGAAAAAACTATGCAAACAAAGAGTCCTACATTGCCAAGTGGGTGACAGGGACAGTAAAATGTTCAGGTCACTAAGTACATGGTTTCTGCCAACCACTCTATCAAAATACGGGGTCATGGGAACTAACACACACACACACACACACAGCTCATGTAGGCATGTGTGCACATATTGCATGTAGAGGCCAGAGGCAGAGGTGATATTGACTTTGATTGTTTTTCACGCCATCTTTTGGGGACAAGGTCTTTCACTGAACACAATGCTCGCTGACTTGTTAGATTGGATGACCGACAAGTTTCTGATCTGCCTCTTTCTATCCCCACTCCCTATTAGTTCTAGGGTTATAGATAAGCAAGAACACTACCATGCCTCATGCAGCCACTGGGGATCTAAACTTGGATCCTTACATATTTTGTTGCAGGCACTTAATCAACTGAGCACCTTGAGCCCTACACCACGCTCTCCAGATATTCTAATGCTCTAGGTTATACCATCATTATCTCTATTCATAGGTGAAATCAGTGTATCCAGGTCCCTAAACAAGGTGTGTGTATGGGGGTGGAGGGATAGAGTTATACTAGTTAGCTCAGGAAGCACTCAATGTTTGTCTTAATTTTTATACACTGTACACTACTTGCAGGTCCTTAGTAAGGCAAAAGGCAGTATTCAGAAACAAAAAAAAAATCACTGTTAATAGTGAGACCTTTGGACAGTGTACCCAAAACCTCTCAGAAATTGGACACTCTGTCTGATAGAGAGGTACTACTGAATATTTCAAACATCTCAAATAAAAATCAGATCCCATGACAATGAATTCCCCAATTAAACTCATCTTTCCTAAGAGCTTCATTTTTCTCAGTCTAGAATATTCCAATAAAAGGAGGCCACAATATAATACTGTACACCAGACGAAATCCTAACAAGACAGGTAAGTAGTTGGATAGACATTTTGCTTTAATTTTGCTGTTTATCCTGTACTGTATCCAATATCATCACATTCCATTATACACTTGAGACATAACTTCCACTACTATGCTTCCGAATTTAGCATTTTTTTTCTATTTAGATAAATGAAGGCTATTTTCAGTTTCCTTGTTTAACCACAATAAATAAATAAATGAATAAATGAATAAATGAATAAATAAATGAAAGTTCTATGTTTTAAAAGACACACATCTCTGGTACTCACCTAAACCAGACTTTTTTAGGCGTTTTAAGTGCTGATTTGTTTGCTTTCCAGGCGGAGATTTTTGCCCATGTTTCATTTCTTTATCTGAACTGTCTGCTTCCCCATTCTTAGACTCAGATCCTAAAAAAGGAAATAGTTATTATGCCATTATCTTTCTCTCCCTGTCCTTGACAAGAAACATCTAAAATTGTTTTAAAAACCACAGACATAATCTCCTTCTTCTTTTCCTGAGTTAATATACTACCTTACCCACAATCTGATTCCACTATTGGATATAAAAAGAAAAGGCCAATAAATCAATCAACCTGGACAAAAAGCAAGAGCAGATGGCCTCAGAGCAGAGCTTGACATGCAGTCACTGATCAAATAGCTTTTAAATAAAAGAGTTGGGTCTTTTGTAAAAATACATGAATAAGCTTCAACACTAAGATGCCACTTAGAGATGATATCAGAGAGAGGGAGAGAGAGAGAATAAAAAGTAGAAGAAATGGAAGAACCAGCCCTTAATCAACAGCTATATGCTGAAGCAGAAACAGAAAATGCAAACACTAGTCCATAATGAATTCAACAGTTCACAGCTGATAAAGTGACAAGAGGTAAATTAGGAGAGCTGGCCAGGGCTTCATGGAGGTGAGAAGAATATTGCAAGAACACAGATTCATAAAGGATTCTGGGCTTTGCAGCAAGTGCTGAAAAACAAATTCACACTCAGAGAAAAACTGCTTTTGATGGTGTTACACACCAGCATGAGGTCCAGAACTCAAGTTCAACATTCAAGAGAAAGCTAAAACAGGAACAACAAAACCATCAGACCAGCACCCTCATCCTTACATGTACTGACATTAGCAAATCAAGTCACTGGATGACAAATGGGCTGATGCCTTTAAGACACAACAACTGGGAGATGCTCTGCATTTTTAGATCAATGAGAGAGTCAAAGATAGGTACACACATAGAATACATTTGTACATGAAAAGTATATGTACATAGGTATAAAACTAAATCTCACACGAAAGTATCTTTTTCAATTTCAAAAGAGGAAAAGGAATCAAGCCATCTCTCTCTATGAGGAAGTCTCCTCCAGGGAGAAACTGGCCAAGCATACAATATTTTAGCTCTTTACCTGAAGGCGAATCGGACTGCTCATCAGACACCTTTAATGGTGTCAAGACAACGCGAGGGACAGTCTTGTTCACCATCATTGAGACTCCATTTCTTCTTTTCTGCTGCTGTCTCAAAGCCTATAAAATACAATGATAAAATATAGCATAAAAATGCATCCACAGTGATTTCTGGTGATTGAATTACATAATCCCCTTGCTCATGTCTGTCTTCAATTCCACAGAGCCCCTGATTTGTCAGGATTCTTGGTAATCACCTTTCTCCATTTTCCCTCAAAAGCATAAAATTGGGCTTTGGTAAAGTGGTTTAAGCTGAGACCATTTTCGCTCTAATTCTGATAACAAAACACCATGGAATGGTTTATTCTACCTTAGCAGAGTGGCTTGAAAGCCGGCAGAACTTGATACTAGGGCTCCCAAGTAAAATAAATGTAAAATAAATGTTTCGAAACCAGGATAAAAATATATGTGTCTGCACCTCTCTCGCAGGTGCTCGTCTCCAGTGCGCTGCTCAGTCAATCAGTTAACACCGGGTGTCATCAGTATGTACGGCATGTGAGAACTACTGTATTGATGCATTCACTCAGCCGTGGGGAGCGCTGCACAAAATCACCGAACATGGCAGGAATCATTTATTTCTGTGAAGGGAATCAGTCCTAATCTTGGAAAGCTTGCAGCCCTTGGCTTCTGTCTGCTTGACTTTGGTATTAACCTTCAGAACACGAACATGACGGGGTTTGGGCAAATCCAAGGGGGAAAAAAAATAGATAGGAGAATAAATCTCTTCAAATGGGAATGCCTTGTGTTTCATAAACGAATCTGACATGGTGATGATAATATAATAAAAGGCATTTTAAAGTTTTGAAATACAGTTTTATCTAGCGGATCACGTTATGTAGAAAATTACCTGTAATAAAAAGGGTTTTAAGCACACGAAACAGGAAGAGCCATTAAAACCTGAAGCCGCAGGAATGCTGAAATTCCTCAAAAGGTTAAAAGGCTGGCCACGGACTGTCTCAAACCTTTTTATTCCTGGATTCTGTGCAATTTCTACTAATTTTACAATGTCTCGGTTATATGATTAATGTGCTACAAGCAACAGTTGTCACAATCTCCGGAAATATTGCTTTGACTGTATATTCCTTGGCTGTCAAAACCAATGTGACTTTATTTACACAGGGTATGAGCTTTATGTTTGACTTGTTGACCACTAGATTTAGAAATTACTTAATTATTGAAATGAAAAACTAATCCTCACTGAGAGGACAAATGACAAAGTCAGATGAGATTTAAAGCCACATGACAGAAGGAAGAGCTGGAGAATTTATTATAAATGATACATTTACTACAGATAGCATGCAAGGATTCTTATATTTATAGAGTTTTTGTGAAGTCCCAGGCCCTGTCAAGGAACCTGGGATACAAAGATTAATATGATGCCATCCTTCTCATCATTAGTCTGCTGTCAATAGTGTATTTAACGAGGTCATATGTGCTATGAAGCATTTAAGAATTTTCTCTCTTCAAGCTGTGTATATATAATTAGACATAAATTGTGTAACATACTTGCATAAATCTTCCTAGTCTTTTACATAAGAACTCAGAGTACTCTATAGACATTAACCTAACAATACGCGAAAATTAGGCGAAGCAGTGCTTCCAATTATAACTAAGGCTTTCTTCACCCACTGTTTAAATCTCCATAAAAGAATAAAAGCAGCCAGTAAATACAGCAATGAATCTCTATGAGTCCATGTGTCACCAGTTTCAATTCCACTAAGCAAAATATTAACCTTCTTTAGGTGTACAGATTTTAATATGTTTATCCTATATTATATGTCTAATATAGATTTACAAGTGAGTATATACCATATGTGTCTTTCTGCTTCTGGGATACCTCACTCAGGATGATCTTTTCTAGTTCCCACCATTTGCCTGCAAATTTACCGTATCAGTGGACTAGAGGAGGGGAATGGGAGGGTGGGATTGGGAGAGGACAAGGGTGGGCACGAGGGAGGGTGCTACAGCTGGGATACAAAGTGAATAAATTGTTATAAAATTTAAAAGTTAAAAATATTAACCTTCTAAAAATGTCCTCTCACTGTGTGCACACACATGTCCATGTGAAGTGAGGGGATTTCTCATGGAAAGTGTTGATTAACTGCAAATAAAAGCACTGGCTATAATGGCATAGACGTGTAATCAGAAAGTCAAAGATGCCATGCTTGTTTTCTAATCTGTGGTCAATAATGATGAAGAAGAAGAAGAAGAAGAAGAAGAAGAAGAAGAAGAAGAAGAAGAGCTTTTACCCTCAGTTTCTAAAGCTGAAAGCACTATGAAACTAACGATTTAATGACTGGATAGATACCATGACAGATAAAATGCAAGAATAAAAGTCATGGCTACTGTGAATTATTGTCAGGTAAGGATAAAGAAATGCTAACATAGAGTCTATTCAAATGCTATTTCATAAGTACAGATGTTTGAACAGTACCTCTCAACACAATATTTTTAAAAATAATTAAAGGACTCACTTTGTACTGCAGGCAACACAAACTACACGTCTATCACAGAAGAAACAAAACTGTTTTACGTGTATGACTGAGAGACCAGAGGATTAAAAATCAGTGGCTATTATTTTAAAGTGTAAAGCACAGGCCTGAACTAAGGCCAGCCAAATGGAGAGATGTCCAGTCTTAATGCCCCGAGGGGAAGAACTAGCCTTACTGCATTCTTTTCCTGCCCACTAGAGCTAAAGTTGCTAGGAAACTGGCCCATCCCCTTAGGGAGGGACACCAGATCATTAATGGTTTGGGCACCTTCCTATAGCCAATCAATTCAAAATACAACATCACTTTGTGTTTCGACCAATAGGTACTTGCCAGGCAGGATACCCCCCCACCCCCCCTGCTTTGGGGGGACCAGAATCTTTAAATCACCCAACTAACTGGAGCACAGGGCTCTCGGCTCTCACAGCTTTGGGGTCGGGGGAGTGAGCCCAAGCTGCTGCTTGTAATAATTTGTAATAAAAAAGATCCTCACATATTTTGCAATGGACTCCTGGTGGTGGTCTTTTGGGGTATCGCGATTCGGGCATAACAGGAGAAGCAAACATGGTTCTTTGCCATGTACTTGTAAAATGAGTCTTGGGCCTGGGGAGAAGGCTCAAAGAGTAGGAGTACTTGTTATGCAAGTGTAAAGACCTGAGTTTAAATACTTAACACCCCTGTAAAAGCTAGACATGGCCACATACAAGATAATGACCCAGTGTTATGTGGTAATGGATGAAAGCAGGGAACAATAAAGACATCCAGCATTTTCCTCTGCCCTTCATATGCATGCACCGCTCATGCCCCTGAAAACACACACACACACACACACACACACACACACACACACACACACACACTTATATTGACTTCCAAGCAACACTTGTAGGGCAGATAACAAAAAGGAGGTCATGTCTGTTTCTTATGGCATCATATTATACATGGAAGTCTGGTATCACAAACTACAATACATCTCTTTAGACCTCATTTGTGGTTGTCCTGAAGAGCCCAAATTACTTTCCAGGAATAAGAGTTCATTTGATGATGATGGACGCTGGGTACCTTCCACCCAGAACACAACATTAACAGAAGGAGACAAAACAATGTTGCTTCCATTGAGAGTCATCAGATAGCCAGATGTCTCTAAGTAAGGGCAGACACTACTAGGCAGTAGGGCCCTTGGTGACCCAGTGTGTATCCTTCAGGGAAAGACAGACTGTTCTTCAACAAAGAGGCAGTATGTAACTGTGTATCCAGTGTGTATCCTTTGGTAAAAAGGCAATATATAACTCTCCGCAGTTATGTTCAAGCCAGCAACTCAAACATACTGTGTGTCAACTCTTCCCAATTGCTGAAGAGCATTAGTTGTGTGGAGAAGTAAGACAAGAGCAGAGGAGGAGACAGGAGTGAGCAAGTCCCAACATACTCTATTGGAGGCCTGAAGCTGCTTCAGCAAAACTAATCCTTGTGTGTTTCTTTCTATAAATGCTGGGGATTAAACACAGTCTATGCAAATTAACAATGAGCCACAACTCAGGCTTTTGTAAATAATATTTTGATACAAAGTGTAACCACATTTCCCAGGCTGGTCTCGGACCTGCAATCCTCCCACTAATCATGGCTGACTCAAATCAATTTTTAGGTCTGTTTTCCTGTTTAAACCACATGCAACCTGAGGTCAGCAGCTCCTTGGAGTTTTTGGGGAAAAAAATAGGATTCCTAACATAAAGACAGAATTTATTTTCCATTTAATTTATAACCATTGAAATACAAATTTCCCTTAACTTGGAAAATATATCCATATGATAGGCTAAGGAAATAGAATCAGGCAAAGTGGTTTTGGTGCCTATGGGTGTGTATGTGCATATAAGGAATTCCCTAAATGATGGAAAATGCTTTTTCCACTGTGACTTCTTGGGGTCATTGTTTTGTTTTCCAATAAGCCGGTGGTGGCCCTAGTTATTCATCTGCTTGGTCTTAACACTTTAATCTGCATTCATTTTAGGGGCAAAATAGTAAAAACATACCTCTGTTTGTCAGGGTAGACTATACTTTGGAATGCGAGGAAATTGTTTTATTGAACAACTCACTAAGCAGACAGGGAGTCTGGATCTCTGTGCAGTGAATAAATGGACCTTCAGCCGGTCACATGTACAGAGTTCTACGTCTGATTAACAGTGTTAGTGACAGGAGGTGCAGTGTTTGAATGGGAATTGATCCCCTTCCACTTCCTGAGCATCCGAACCCTTGGTCAACATCCTGTGGCACTCTCTAGGGAGGCTTGGGTGGTTCAGCCTTGCTGAGGGGAGCAAGCCGCTGCTGGCCTTGCAGTGTGCCTAATGACTCTCTTGGCTTCATGCTTTTGATTGAAGCTGTGAGCTCTCAGGCTGGCGAGATGCATCAGCAGTTAAGACCACCTGCTACTCTTTCAGAAACCTTGGTTCAACTCCCAGGATCCAAGAGGTGGCTCACAGGCACCTGTAACTCCAATTACCGGGTGCCTGATGCCTTCTTCTAGAATCCAGGGGCATCAGGCATACAGCTGGTGCCCATGTAGTCAAAACATTAATATCCATAAACACAAAATTAAATTAAATTAAACATCTCTGAACAAAGTAAAAATAATTCCACACTCACTTCAAGTTACTTGTGTCTTTCTATGAGAAGGGAGGGAAATTGCTAGCTGAACATGCTTTATCTACAGAAATATAGTGTGATGTTTTCTTAAAAAAAAAAAGAGAGGAAAAAACTTTTAGATAAACATTTCATTTTAGAAAGAAAGCTTTCCAGATACTCTCTCTCTAAAAGGGGTTGTGGGGTGGGGAATCATCCTTGTGTCTACTCTAATGGGAGTAAATGAAATAAAGCTGAAAACCAGGATTTCTTGTTTTGAGTTGGCACATTAAACAATAAATGTTCGCTATATTTTAATGGAGAAGCGGTACCGACATGTAACTTAAGAATGTGTAGAATGCAGAGAGCCCTTTCTTGAAAAATCTGAAAATATCACAGGCAATGAATGCTGACACTAAAACAACTAGACGTGCACACATGGGGAACAGCTGTCTGCCTCAGGGACCAACAGCAAGCGTTGTGACCAGTACACTAAATGCCAAAGTCGGTGATAAGACACCACTACCATCACCATAACACAGCAATATACCAAGACTTTATCAGCTCTGCCGTAGCGCAACGGCATAGGGTCTGCACTCCTATCATCCTAAAAATCTGAGAGAAGTCAAGCCAACAGAGGCAACATATGGCTATGGTCATGACCACACTAATGCCAAAACTACCACACTAATGCCAAAACTACCACACTGCTGCCGTCACACACAGCATCTTCCTTTTAGCTATCATTTTCTTCTACTGGTTAGGATTCCAAAATATAATCTTGCTTAGCTTCTCAGAAAGTTCAAATATCTAATCATTCCACATTGTCATAGGATCTTAACCACTAGATACCACAGCAGAAAGGAAACGGGGAACAAGGTAATAATCAGCAGGCAATTCTGAGAATGCTTATACACACAACAACTACAAAAATGGCAAGCACACAAAATGTTTTCCAGGAAATTATGTGTATCACATTGTTCATCATAATGCCATGATGAGTTTATGGTAAAAGGAATTCAGATGTTTTGGAACAACGAAAATATTCTATCCAATAGCCAAGGCCTTACTGCTTCTACACAGTCCAGCCTACAGATTACATTGTGATCAGCAATATCTAGGGCAGAAAATTTGCTTGCTATTAAAGCATCTAAGCAAGGAGTTTAGACCTGATATGTGTCTGGCTTTGCTTATGAGAGCATTGTTTTAGTTATTGTTTTTATATACCTCTGATGCAAAGTCACCTGGATTTTCAGGAATTTGTTTTCACCTACTTCTTTCTATTATAGCTCTGCTGAATCAGAACTCACATACTCACATACACTCACTCACATATACTCACACACTCACACACTCACACACTCACACACACACTTTAAGAAGAGGTTTATTAAGCAAAGCAAAGTAAAAGTATACTCATACAGAGATGCTGCAGCATGCTGGCTCAAAGGGCCACTAGCAGCACATTGCGCTCTGTATTATGGGGCTGTTTTAAGTTTGTATAAATATTTATGAAGTGGGTTGGTATTTGTGGGGATAAGGTGATCCTCTTTCCCTAGCCACCCTTAGTGCAGACTATTTTAGGGAATGTCATCCCATTATCCTCTTGAGAAGCCTACAAGGAAAGCCTCAACCATAATTGCAAATGCCACTATAATGACCGTGGGGGCCTCTGAGGATTTGGACTCTTCTTTAGTGCATATGTGTGCTGATGGAGAAAGTCCCCTGGCACCTGGGTTTCTCAGAAAGTTGGAAAAACTAACTGCGGTTTCAGAGATGATTAACCATAGAGGGGCAAGAATGAGAATGTTTTTTTCATAAACTTGTGGGGGCAAATGGAACTGAACATGAGCCTTAACTCTGTGCAGATATTCAACACAGGTAGTCTGATTTCGGGAATGGGATTCCTAGTGACCCTACTGTGTTGCCCTCCTGATGAAATACAAAAAGTATGTAAATTTCCACGAACAGTTTCAAACAGAGTCTGCCCAATGGCATACCATATACTGAAAAATGGTCCTAATTAAGAGGATAGAATCTAAATCTGCAATTTTAGATTCAAACGTCCTCTCTGAGAGTTATTGGCTTGATGGCCTTGGACAAGTTATATTAATTCTCTGGTGCTTGGTTTATCTAAAAAATAGACATACTGCCGGGGATGGTGATACACCTATAATGCTGAAGAAGGAGAATAAGGAGTTCAAGGCCATCCTTAGCTACAAGGTAAGTTCAAGGCCATCTTGGGCTATGTAAGACCCTTTCTCAAACAACAGCAAAAGGGATGAGTCCTAATGTAAACAAGAGTTCATGCAATCATCACTAAAGTAATGTCTCTGCTTTAGGTGCTATGAGCATAATTTGTGCATGTATATAAACATACGGAACAAATATTCACATAGATGAAATCATGTACAGACATGCATGTAAATGCTTACATGGTAGTTACTGATAAAAATTCTGTCCTATCTTAAACATTCAACTATCCATTAAAAATGGAAGGTGAATATTGTTTGGGGGTTACAGCGTAAATGTCATATATTCAGACAAGTTTTCAAATGCTTTCTTAAGGCATCAAGCAATTACAGGTGATCCAGATAAAATTCTACCCAGGAAGCTTTTCTCCCGAACGTTATCTACAATAGGAATTAGGTATTAAAGGAACATTAGCATATCCAATCTATATTAAGTCACATCTACTAGGTCGCTAATTTGCTACATGGTTATAAGATAGAAGCTATAAAAAAGGAATAAACAGGTATTCCTCATAATTGAGAAGCTCATGGGACACACTTCTAAAGACAATCCTTAAACTATAAGCAAGCAAGAGATGTTTCTCATGAACACATGGTCTACTACAAAGAAAAAAAGGAAAGAAACAGAGAGAGAGAGAGAGAGAGAGGAGGAAGAAAAAAAAACAACACCAACACTGCTAAGTCAAAGTTGTACAGCATTAATAATTATATAGGGTTCAAATGACATGAAGTTGGAACAAAGAGAGAGAAAACAATGACAGTTAACGTTTCTTCCTGTCCACACGCAGCAGGACTCACAGTTTCCACAGCATCCAGACCATACACCTTGGAGGCATGCATTTCCTTTATGATCCTGTTCATGTTTATTAAACACCACAGCCACACATGTCCAATTCTATGCCCTTTATTCTGTGCTGTTTAGTATTTCATCGCCTGCGCCCTATTTCCTATTTGCTGCCTGAATGAGCATTTTCCTACCCCATTGCCTACCTACCCCATCCTTTATTTCACAAGTTAAAAAGGGATACCAATACTGATCACAGCTTTGCTCTGTAGCATCTAAAAATGTTTCACAAGAATTCATGATATTAATGGCAAGTTATCCAAAGCAGATTGAACCTATGCAGAAAAGATTGCGCCAGATCCTTAAGTACCGGTGGTGGAAGTACCATGATTTCGATGATTATTATAGTTGATAATTAATACACGGGTACAGGACAGAAAAGCAACATAAATGATAAATCAATATTAAAGAGTTCGGTTTCCTTCCTGCCTTTCCTTCTTTGAGGCAGAGAAGGTGAGTCGAGGCCTCACAAGCGAGTGTGATTTGTGACTAGTGATTTGTAACAGCAATCTCCACGGATAACAGCAGCAGGGGCGGGAGGCTTGCTAGAGTTGAAGGCTAGCCTAGTATAAACGGTGAGGGTCTATCTCATAAAGCAGAACAGCCAGCAGCCAGAGCAGGGGGGGGGGATGAAGAAGAGGAAGCGGAGGAAGAAGCCACAAGCATTAAGGAGCAGCCTGGCTGGTGGGGACATCTTTACCACCGTTTCGGAGAACATGGTTTCTCTTTTCCTAGTTACAAGCAGACTACAGGAACCCTGTTCCTGACCTGCTGAAACTGCAAGAAGGCTGCAAGGAACATGGGTCAGACAGGGGTGCAGGAACAGCTTACACACTTAATGCAACCATTACTCCCATCTAACCATGCCCCCCCCCCTTTCCTTCTCTGCACAGTTCAGCACTTGCTGCTGTGGTGTCAACAGCTCACACTCACCAAGTGAGGACTGTGGAACAGCCATGCTCCATCACAGCTTCCTACATCTCATCTTGACCATTCCCCAGGCCGATGCTATGTGATAAGTACTCTCCCAGTTTTGATAACAATGATTTAAACCAGGCTGTGTCAGTGCTCAGACCCAATATTACAACCATTACCACCACCACCGCCATCAAAGCGCAAGGCCAGATAGGTCAAGGCCACCAAGGTCAAGTAGCTTCTGTGATACAAAGAGGAGGTTCCATTCAGCATCAAACAATACTCACCGATGGTTACTGTGGTAATAGCCAGATAAAGAGGATGATCATAAAAAGAGATATAATTTGCAAATTATATAACACAATTATGAGCCCAATGGATTTACTCTAAGTCACACATACACACTCACAAACACACACACACTCACAGACATTGCCCACTCCCACACACATTCTTTCATGACTTGAAGCACATTTCTCTGTTTTACAAGAGATTTCTCAGTCTAATTCTTGGCTACTTTCAATGTATAGTAAAACTATGTTATTAAAGATTACAGAGACAGCCAAACCCAGAGTACCTCTGTTATTTCCCGATTTTAGGTTCCTTGTTGCCTTACTTGGTCCGCAAAACACCGCGACCTTCCACAGGCAGAGCTGAGGGGCTAAGGGGAGATGGGAGCCTCGTACCTGTTTCAGGGCCTTTTTGGTGTGCTGCTGGAAGGAAGACACCAGCTTGCTTTGCACTGCCGTGTTCGTAAGGCTGCAATCCCGAGTGGAAGATACTTCATCCGCTACCTGCTTCGTACACACTAGAAGCAGAGAGAGAGATAATGATATTACTAATTTGAATTCCTTTTTTTACACCCACTGTAATTAACTCACTTGGAGCTATTCTCCAGTTGAAAATGGATACTTAAAATACAGCAAAATAGCACAGTACGAGGAGGCATATCTGGATTCAAAGAGAAGGGATCATTTAGTAACTGTGGCCAGTTCCACTTAACTGCTGTAGGCTGCCAGGCTTCCGTTTCCACCGACAATCGGGTCTGTGCCTTAGAGCGAATGTACAACATACAAACAGCATGTGTCTACCTTATAAGTTGGGGGGTCAATGGACACCATGTCTATCCACATACACAGATGGTTCCATATGGGAACCATCTCAGTGAATGGAATTGTTTAAAATAAGATCCGTGATGCTTGCTATCAACTTAAGACAATTATTTTCAAACAATTTCCCCTCTGAAGATAGCAATGTGTTCTGGATATTTTTTTTTTGTCAGATTTGGGCCTTCCTTTGGCCTATCCCATACAGGAAATTTTACATCCAAACAGTACTATTGAGAATTGATGTCTGTCTGAAGTGAGTGATCAAGGACGTTACAGAGTCCGTGACTCTATAAGGCATTTGTTCTGGAGCTCTTTACTTAGCCCTCTTCCAGCTGGGAGGCTCTGGGCAGGAGCACAGGGAAGACCCTGCTAGCCATGCACTTAGGGGAAGGGGAGAGATTTGCAGAAGCAAAGCGAGAAAGTGGCAGGATAAGTGGCAGAATGGAGGCATATGTCAAAGGCAGGAGGCAGGAGGAAGTTTCGTGGAAGAAAATAACTCAAGAACATATTGTCAAGGCTTGAAACAAGACTTTTTAAGGTCACTTGGTAAAAGATAAGTCAAGGCTATTTTCCAAGTGATGGCAACTTGGGAGAAGAGATTCTGAACAGACTTTTTAAAAGAAAACTATAAAGTAAATACTGTTCGGTTATCAATAACCAACATATAACAACAATAAAAGAGAAAATAGTTATTGGAGTCCAAAATGGAGACAGCCTTTACATAAGATTTGCTTTTGAAAAAATTTAGCATATCCCACCTACAAAGGAACATGCAATTCACTGGAAGGCTTTGCTTAAATCAGAGTTAATTGAGTTTTGTTATAATACAGAAAGTAATTAGGAAGTCAAAATGAACATATTTAGAAAAAAATGTTAATTACTGTTAATTATTTTTCTAAAAATTTTACATATGGGATCTCACTTAGTTCTTATTTTATTTTTTATTTTTTATAAGAAAAAAAGTGTCATCTCTGAATAGGGCAGAAAGAAAAGTGGAGCTCTGAGAGGCTAAGAAAGTCACAGAGTGTTACAGACAATGAGATCATCCCCAGGACCCCAGGCTAGCCCAGTCCTGCAACTCACTGCTTTCCACAAGAAGTACTGGCCCCCAAAGTGAAACTCTGATGCAGGAAAATTCACATTTCAAGAAGTATCATTTAGCTGCATGAGGTTAGGTGCACTGAGCGGGAAGTTAATAGGGCTTACAGGGTTACGTTATTCAGTAGGAGAGTTACAGAACCAGGAAGAATTACAGTTAGTGCATTTTCATATGTGCTTCTTGGAAAGACTACTCAGTGGTTAAGAGGACTTTTTGCTCTCTAAAGGATGCAAGTTTGGTTCCCAGCATCTGTGTAGGTTGGAACACAACTGCCTATAATTCCAGTTGCAGAGGATTTGATGGTCTTTTCTGATGTCTGCAGACAAGTGTTCTCACATGTTCATAGACACACACACACAGACACACATGCAGATCAATGAAAATAAAATCTTTTAAAAATGGGATTTGGATATATATGTACACACACACACACACACATATATGGGTAGATCTTTGAATTAAAGATCAGATGGTTTTCTTTCTGCTATACACAATGTGACAGTTTTTATTAAATGTTCTGATAAATACTCCTTCCTAACACTTCCTGAGTAAATACTGGTTATCAGGCGCCTTTTCCTTGAAATGACTGTTGAACTGGTCTGATTGGTAACATTTCACCCAAGCTTCTTTACCAATAAATATGCATCAGAACACACTCCAAAGATAGATCTTTTTGTACACCAAATACACCAGTAATGCTCTTCATGTTCCGAAGTCTCTGCACTGTGAAACCAACCAAGGAGACTCAGGCAGAATATATTATCTTAGCTGGACCAACTAAGCCAATGGATGTAAAGAAGAGCCCAATTAAAAGTAAAGTAAGCATTAGAAAGTATTATTCATGACTTCAGCATTCCTGGTGGCATCTCCACTCAGGAAACTGAAAACTTACTGACTCGATTAATGGAGAATCAAAGGCAGTCCGCAGATACTAAGACTCAGAACCAAACCTTCGGCAGAGTGCAGGCAATCATATGAAAGAAGGGGAGTTAGTATGATGGGGAAAGGATAGGAGCTCCACAAGGACCAAATATATCTGGGTACAGGGGTCTTTTCTGAGACTGACACTCCACCAAGGACCATGTATGGATATAACCTAGAACCTCTGCTGCATAGAGGTAGCTCAGTAACCAATTGGTTTCCCATAGTAAGGGGAACAGGAATATTTTCTGACAGGAACTCAATGGCAGGCTCTTTGGCCTCCCCACCCCCCAATGGAGGATCAGTCTTGCTAGGCCACAGAGGAGGACTTTGCAGCCAGTCCTGAAGATATCTGATAAAATAGGGTCAGATGAAAGAGGAGGAGGTCCTCCCCAATCAGTGGACTTGGAAAGGGGCAGGGAGGAGATGAGGGAGGGAGGGTTTAGGAGAGAGTGAGAGAGTGGGATACAGCTGGGATACAGAGTTAATAAAATGTAACTAATAGTAATAAAAATAAATAAATAAATAAATAGAATTTGAAAAAATGAGAAAGTAAAAAAAAAAAAAAAAAAAAACCCACGAAATTGCTTTTGCACACTGGATAGGTAAATTCAAATGCATTATCAATTTGGTTTAGGAAACACTTTTAATAGTAAGTCTTTTAAAAAAACTTTAAAAGTTTCCTCATTTTAATATTTTTTGTACATGTGTCGGCATAGGCGTGCCACAGTCATGTGGAAGTGGTCACAGGACAACTTGCAGGGGCCAGTTCTCTCCTCAGACTTAGTAATAGGTGTCTTCCCCAGCTGAGCCATCCCGCTGGCCCAGACTCATCAATCTTCCCAATGCAAACTTCAGTGCAGCGGGGTCAGATAGTAACAAGTTCTGACTGAACGCTCCTAAACCTTTGTGCCCTTTTCATTATCTAACTGCTGTGAGAAGCAGGGGGCATGTGTGTCCTTCCAGGAGACACAGCTGTGGCCCTTCCCATCTCTCCCCTCCCCCTTTCTTTCTGACCTGGGACCCCGCCTGATATCAGGAAATCTACTTTAGTCTCATCATGCATGTTTTAGCTCTGCTGTTGTCCTGTGTTCATGTGCGGTTATTCACAGATATTTACAAGTGTATACTCGCTGCAGAGTCCAAAGCACGAGGTGGGGGATGTGGGGCTCAGGCCCTGTGAACACTGTAAAGCTCTCAAACTAGGCCTTCCCTGATCCTACTCTACTAGCCTTTTCTTCTTTCTTTCTTTAAATTTATTTTATTATACATTTTTTTAAAAAAAATGTTCTACATGTGACTCTACTAGCCTTTTCTTCACCCTTCCTTAAACACACAGTGCGGCACCACTGATATCCCCCATCGCAGCCACGTGTCCGACTGTTCTTGATGTGTCTCTGGGTCAAAATGGTTTTCTCTAATTATTTGCTTCTAATTTAAAAAAAAAAATCATACACTACTAAGGAGAAAGGAAATGCACTCAGCAATAAAAATCTATAAATGACTGTGTCTTTGCTTTGGATATGGACATAGTCATCCATTGACCCCAAGCGGTGGCTTGTAATAAACATACATTATTTCAAAGTATGGGCGAATATAAACCTAAAGTTTAATGTGGATGTTTCAATTAATTTACTCTTTCTTTTGCCAAAAATATGACAGGAGTGTAGTAGAATCAAAAACACCCATCCGCTAACTAAACATATGTGACTCATATTCTGACAAAACACAAGGCTTTCACCTTTTTAATACTTATTTTTGCAACTATCCTAAGAACAGGTGTGATAAATAAATGGAAGCATGAATATTCATCTAAGAGGCGGCGCTTGCTCTGTGAACGGCAAACTGAGGCTAAGTTAACGTTAGAGGAGAGATCAGAGGAAATTCCCTGTGAGTGGAATTACAACAGAAGCCAGAAAATTGAACAACCAGGACAGATGATTTAGCCAATAAATATCAAACCTTGACATGCAGCTTAGAACCTGATATCTTCTTGGCATGTGAGACAGAATGGGAGCTGGGATTTTTTTCTTTTAAACTACATGGGTATGATTACAGAATTAACGACAGGTCTTTGCATGTCAAAAACCTCCTGAAATTTGAGAAACTATTGCAGGCCTTGCTCATAGAACTGCGTATATGAATACACTAAAAATGAGGAACAGAAATACTGTTGCATTCTGCATTTTGCTACATTTTGCTTGCCTCCCCGGGGTCAAGCAAACTGAAAACATATTTCAACTTAATTTACTTTTAAGCTTCCCCCTCAGCTTTCACTCCCCACAGGAGCTATCCCTCCTTATTCAAAAGGGCTGCTAGCAAAGGATTCAGGGAGCCATGGAACATTCTTCACCACCAGAGATGAGGTGACAGTGTTGTGGCAAACTGAGGAGTTTGCGCTCTTTTTCTAGGTGTCTCCAAGATGTCCTCTAGCCTCTTTTTCATTGCATGGGCCCCGAGCAGGCCTTCGCAATAACTGACGTCACACAGCCTGCACATTTAGAGCTGACTGGTGCTGCGGAGATCCCCTTCTGATCCACTCATTAGTTCATCGACAGAAGAAGTTGGCACCACAAATCTAACTTTGATCTTCATCTCAAGACACGAATGAGGGAGGAATCAGAGAGTAGACTCAATATGCATACATTTCTGCTTCTCATTTCACTGGCTTCTGCCTCT